ACACCAAGGAGCTCATTAAGCCCCGTGAGTATCACATGACACCAAGGAGGTCATTAAGCCCCGTGAGTACCACATGACACCAAGGAGCTCATTAAGCCCCGTGAGTACCACATGACACCAAGGAGGTCATTAAGCCCCGTGAGTACCACATGACACCAAGGAGCTCATTAAGCCCCGTGAGTACCACATGACACCAAGGAGCTCATTAAGCCCCGTGAGTATCACATGACACCAAGGAGGTCATTAAGCCCCGTGAGTACCACATGACACCAAGGAGCTCATTAAGCCCCGTGAGTACCACATGACACCAAGGAGCTCATTAAGCCCCGTGAGTACCACATGACACCAAGGAGGTCATTAAGCCCCGTGAGTACCACATGACACCAAGGAGGTCATTAAGCCCCGTGAGTACCACATGACACCAAGGAGGTCATTAAGCCCCGTGAGTACCACATGACACCAAGGAGCTCATTAAGCCCCGTGAGTACCACATGACACCAAGGAGCTCATTAAGCCCCGTGAGTATCACATGACACCAAGGAGGTCATTAAGCCCCGTGAGTACCACATGACACCAAGGAGCTCATTAAGCCCCGTGAGTACCACATGACACCAAGGAGCTCATTAAGCCCCGTGAGTACCACATGACACCAAGGAGGTCATTAAGCCCCGTGAGTACCACATGACACCAAGGAGGTCATTAAGCCCCGTGAGTACCACATGACACCAAGGAGCTCATTAAGCCCCGTGAGTACCACATGACACCAAGGTGCTCATTAAGCCCCGTGAGTACCACATGACACCAAGGAGCTCATTAAGCCCCGTGAGTACCACATGACACCAAGGAATTAGAGTGTCCATACATGTAGTAACGGCCAGAGAGGAAGGCCTCGCCTGCCCAACAGGACGGCAGGGGGCCGCACCGCCGCCAGCCTCACGGGTGTTCACACAAAAGACAATAGGTTCTCTACCGCTGGAGAGTTGGTTTCAAACTTTGTAAACTTGGGTTCAACTCGAGGCGGACTTCTCCCAAGTCGGAGGCGCAGTAACACGACCGCAATGGAATGAAATCGTTTGACCGAGTGAGTTTATTATGGAGACGTTATTGTGTGTGGACATTGCCAGAGTATATTGGGTAATGGCGGACGGTGGTGGTGGTTGGGGACGGTGGTGGTGGTGATGGTGATGGTGGGTTGTGTTTGGAAGGTTCTGGACGATGGTGTGTAATCCTGGGTGGTGGTATTTACCTATCAGTGACCACTGGGGAGTGAGGTGTAGCTCAGTATGCTCCGCCTATGAATCATTTTAGGAGTCTTTCAGAGTTAATTTGTTTGACGAGATATAAGCTCTGAGAAGTGCAGGAGCCGCAGGGAGCTGGCTACACCTCTGGAGAAGTGCAGGAGCCGCAGGGAGCTGGCTACACCTCTGGAGAAGTGCAGGAGCCGCAGGGAGCTGGCTACACCTCTGGAGAAGTGCAGGAGCCGCAGGGAGCTGGCTACACCTCTGGAGAAGTGCAGGAGCCGCAGGGAGCTGGCTACACCTCTGGAGAAGTGCAGGAGCCGCAGGGAGCTGGCTACACCTCTGGAGAAGTGTTATATACTCTCAACATAAGAAAAATATACAACTAGGAGGAGTCCCCGGCGGTGACGGGGACTGTCTCTTCCCTCACACCACCATTCCACGCCTCTTCTTTTCCTCTCTCTCTCTCTCTCTCTCTCTCTCTCTCTCTCTCTCTCTCTCTCTCTCTCTCTCTCTCTCTCTCTCTCTCTCTCTCTCTCTCTCTCTCTCTCTCCTTCTCTCTCTCTCCTCTCTCTCTCTCTCTCTCTCTCTCTCTCTCTCTCTCTCTCTCTCTCTCTCTCTCTCTCTCTCTCTCTCTCTCTCTCTCTCTCTCTCTCTCCACATCCCCGTTTTCCTTCCTATCCCTTTCCCCCTCCCGGTTTTCTACCTTACCTTGAAGTTACCTTGAGATGATTTCGGGGCTTAGCGACCTGGCGGCCCGGTCGTCGACCAGGCCTCCTGGTTGCTGGACTGGTCAACCAGGCTGTTGGACGCGGTTGCTCGCAGCCTGACGTACGAATCGCAGCCTGGTTGATCAGGTATCCTTTAGAGGTGCTTATCAAGTTCTCTCTTGAACACTGTGTGGGGTCGGCCAGTTAATCGGGCCTCTGATGTTGATAGAGGTCTCTCTCAGAGTACCTGTTGCACTGCTCTTCAACGGGGGTATTCTGCACATCCTGCCATGCCTCGTGGTCTCATGCGATGTTATTTCTGTGTGCAGGTTTGGGACCAGCCCCTCTAATATTTTCCACGTATAAATTAGTATGTATCTCTCCCGCCTGCGCTCATGAGAATAAAGCTTCAGTCTTCCTGATTCTTCCTTCTCCCTCCATCTCTCAGAAAATGTATTGAGACTCACGACAGCAATGTCTTAGAAATACATAGTTACGATCACAAAAAACTCTAGGGGAATAACACCGTACATTTCAATATTCTCAATGATCTGAAAATCGTCTGGGGGTGTTAATCATTGCTAATCATTCTTAAAACATTTAACTTAGGCCTACCCAGAGTACGTCCGTCTCGTTCAATAGACCATTCATCCTGGGAATTTGAGTGCGGCGGCCTACATCTGGCCTCCAACTCTCAGAGACAAACTGACAGACTCACACACACAATCTCACTCTCGCAGTATAGATCAACTTATAAATAAAGGTGAGAGGCGTGAGAGTTGCGTCCCCGACTGATCACTGCTCCATTACATGGATCACCAGATGGGTGAGGCTAGACGTTGGTGTGACGGTGGTCGGGCGAAATTTATAAAAAAATGAAGCAGAACACTGTAATATAAATTATCAAAATAGTTTGAGAATTTGAGAAAGTATTTAACGGCTCGCGGCCATCAACACTTGAAAGTATAATTAAAAAAGTATTTTGAAATTCATTAAGATTTTGTGTTGATTTTTATACCGAGTTTAGAGGTTCTTGGTCCACTTACACACGCGCGCGCACACACACACACACACACACACGCATACACACACACACACACACACGCACACACACACACACACACACACACACGCACACACACACGCACACACACACACACACACACACACACACACACACACACACACACACACACACACGCACACACACACACACACACACACACACACACACACACACACACACACACACACACACACACACACGCACACACACACACACACACACACCTGTAACGACGCGTGAAAGAGACCTGGGGGTGGACGTAACACCTAATCTATCTCCTGAGGCACATATTAATAGGATAACGACAGCAGCGTACTCTACACTGGCAAAAGTTAGAACATCATTCAGAAACCTAAGTAAGGAGGCATTTAGGGCGCTTTACACTGCCTACGTGAGGCCAGTCTTAGAGTATGCCGCCTCATCATGGAGTCCCCATCTGAAGAAGCATATAATGAAACTGGAAAAGGTTCAGAGGTTTGCAACGAGACTCGTCCCAGAGCTACGAGGGATGGGGTATGAAGAGCGCCTGAGGGAACTGTGCCTTACGACACTAGAAAGAAGAAGGGAGAGGGGTGACATGATAGGAACGTATAAGATACTCAGAGGAATTGACAGAGTGGGACATAGACGAAATGTTCACACATTTCGGGGGGGGGGGGCGTGTGTGTGTGGGGGGACGTATGTGTGTGACGTATATGCTTGTGAGTAAGTTGATGTATGCTTAAAACATGCTGCAGTTAATCTAGTCCACATAACAATTCACACAAGATAACATATATTTGGAACACTTAAGACACAACCTAATGTTGATAACGGCCAACCACGGAGAGAGACCAGCAGACGAGGACGCCTCGGACGAGGGACCAGCCGAGGCTCCCCGGCCGGAGTGACGGTCACTGGTGACTGTTGCCATGACAACCGTACACACCCACGGCGGGGGAGGGGGAGGGGGGGAGTTAGGGGGTGGGGTGGAGAATGTTAAGGAGGAAGGGGGTGTGAGGGAGTGGTGAGGAGAGGTGGGGAGGGAGGAATGAAGGGGAAGGGAGGGGAAACATGTGAGGGTAGAGGCCGGATAAGGGGAGAGAAACAGTGAAAGGGAGGGATGGGAAGAAGCAAAGGAAATGAAATAGAGGAACGAAGAGAAATAGTGAAAGAGAGGAAGCGGGAAGGGAAAGAGAAAGAGAGAGAAAGAGAGAAGAGAGAGAGAGAGAGAGGAGAGAGAGGAGAGAGAGAGAGAGAGAGAGAGAGAGAGAGAGAGAGAGAGAGAGAGAGAGTAGAGAGAGAGAGAGAGAAGAGAGAGAGAGAGAGAGAGAGAGAGAGAGAGAGAGAGAAAGAGAGAGAGCGAGAGAAAGACAGAGACAGAGAGATGTATGAGCAATAGGCTGCAACAGAGGGAGGCAGGGACAGGAAGGTATGTGGATGATGATGGTGGTGGTGGTGGTGGTGGGGGCGGGGGGAGACGAACATCTTGCAGGGGCTGGCGTATGCTGTCATTACGTCTTGGTGACCATCTTATTGATCAGCTCCGGCATGCAACGCTGCTATCACCTGAGGAAGCATGGTTGCACTGTTGCATGCTGACGTGTAGTGCTAGTAACTTAATTGGAGCTCTGTCATGGCCGGGTGAGTTTTCCGGTTAGCAGTTGGTGGTCGGTTGCTACACGTGAATATCTGGTATATATCCCCACCTGGTATGTGTGGACACCTGACATATAAGGCCAAGATCTGATATATGAGGGGAAGATCTATACAGGGATGCACTCTTGGGAACAGATAACCTATTAAGAAAATAATTACAATACCATTAATAGCCCATATGTTACTTATTTTTAGATTAATTCTTCTTGGAAGGAAAACTGATCCTGTAACTAATCATGTGGGTAACTGTCATAAATATAGTTATATGATTATTTTGATCATGATTACTGATCAAATGAGCTGCTGACCAGACAGACTGGTTACTGATGGTAAGTTGTTATGACCCACCTTTGTCAGGGAGTTCCGTTGGTGTGGTGGGCGAGGTGGGCTGGGGGGAGGGGGAGAAGGGCGGCGAGAGTGGGGCAGGCGAGGTGGGCGTCGTCACCGAGGTCAGGTCGTCCGAGTATGACCTCTGGTGGGGTGTTCTAGCGTGGGGTTTCATTGTCGTGTTCAGTACACGTGTCGGGGAAATGTTTATTGTTGAACTGTCTGTTTTCCACCCGATCACTAGTGTGGCTTATCGTTCAAAACTTGATGAAACGAAGACACTAAACGACACAGCGTCACTCGCATAAATTATCTCAGTATGTCTCGTTAGATAACCAGAGAAGCATCTAAAAGCTGTCCAAAAGACGCTAACTAATAATCCGCTAAATAGTTGATTTCTCTGGATCATCTGACGTCAGAGCGAACCAGCCATCTATCAAGGAACCAAACCAACGGAGGTTTCTCAAATAACACCACGAACAGCATCTCAGGTTACCATAGCGTCTAGCAGACACCGGACTTCACCTTGAGGCCCACCACTGCAAGACCGTCCAGTCAGGGGGAGCCAAGCCTACTGCTACGGCTGCTCTACACTGTCCTCGCATCCTCAGCCTCTCCACTTCACAAGACGCAAGTTGCGGTCAGCTGACGGGTGACAGGTGGCGTCAGATGGTGTCTGAATGACCACCTGGCCGTGAGTGCCAAGTCATCATTGCGTTCAAGATTCCATTTAAGAGCCATGGCGTGGCCATAAACTAGTCCGGCAAGCAGGCTCAGGGCGACTCGGGTGGCATTCGGCTGCTTCTGTTTGCACGAAAGGATTTCGATACTTATTAGACGTGAACACCCGGATCACTTGAGTTCGGTTCAGTGTCTACCGAGAGACTTGTTCGAAGCCTCTTCTGGGATAACCGGCGCTACACGCTAGCTGTTGAGCGAGTCCTGCTCGTCACCACTTGCAGCTGTCGGGGCGCACACGACTGTGCTGCTCCATCTAGCTGCAGACCTTCCAGCCAGTACCGCGCCAAGCTGGCTGCACCTCCCTATTTCCCTGGCCTTCAAAGCCTCACAAGTAAACCATCTGGCACTTGGTACAGGTGGGAGCAGCGTCCACAGGTGGTTGAGGAAACCTGGTAGCGAGTGTTTGGGTCGATAGGAGCGGCAGAGACTACCTACGAATCGTCTGTGACCACCACTCGCTCTTCAACAATACCAGCCTTATCGATCTCCGGCTCTCACGCTGTTTACCCGCGCTTTGCCAATCGCTTTCCGGGCCCTCGCACCTGATGAATACCCCGAGCCTCAGCGACTGTACTCGTCCTCGGGATCAAGAACACGCGGAGGTTCTTTGTCAGGTCGAGCGCGTCATTACACGGCCTCAGCACCTCCGTCACAACATACCCATATAACGGTCTCAAATTTGACACACACACACAGACGCCCCGGCGGTTCTATGTATGGTCCTTGTGTGGTTGTTAAACCCTCTAGATGTCCAGACCGATATATATATGTCCCTCAAGGTAAGAAAGGCCGGGCCATGTCCAGCAGCTGCTACATGTCCACTCGCGGAGAGGGTCCAAGCACTCGTTGGTCCCTCGGGAAGAATGCAAAAGTTTAATACGTCTTTCGGCGGCGGCCACGAGAAGGCGCCAAGGAATTCCAGCGAGGACTGGCGACAAGGCCTCAGAAGGAGCTAACTTCAGGAGATTAGCCAACGAGGAATTAAATAATGGTCGAGAATTTGCCTGGGGGCAGGTGCTGTGAGGCGAGGGTGGCAGTGTCACTCCGGAGGGCTCGGGCGCCACACTGTCGGCACAGCGCTGGGCCAGCCCACACAGCCCTCTCCAGCGCATGACAAGACGGCAGTCACGCCGGCACTCCTGTGCGGCCCTCCACACACCCGTCCGGCCCTCCACACACCCGTCCGGCCCTCCACACACCCGTCCGGCCCTCCACACACCCGTCCGGCCCTCCACACACCCGTCCGGTCCTCCACACACCCGTCCGGCCCTCCACACACCCGTCCGACCCTCCACACACCCGTCCGGCCCTCCACACACCCGTCCGGTCCTCCACACACCCGTCCGGTCCTCCACACACCCGTCCGGTCCTCCACACACCCGTCCGGTCCTCCACACACCCGTCCGGTCCTCCACACACCCGTCCGGTCCTCCACACACCCGTCCGGTCCTCCACACACCCGTCCGGTCCTCCACACACCCGTCCGGTCCTCCACACACCCGTCCGGTCCTCCACACACCCGTCTGGTCCTCCACACACCCGTCCGGCCCTCCACACACCCGTCCGGTCCTCCACACACCCGTCCGGCCCTCCACACACCCGTCCGGTCCTCCACACACCCGACCGGCCCTCCACACACCCGTCCGGTCCTCCACACACCCGTCCGGTCCTCCACACACCCGTCTGGTCCTCCACACACCCGTCCGGCCATCCACACACCCGTCCGGTCCTCCACACACCCGTCCGGCCCTCCACACACCCGTCCGGCCCTCCACACACCCGTCCGGTCCTCCACACACCCGTCCGGCCCTCTACACACCCGGCCGGCCCTCCACACACCCGTCCGGACCTCCACACACCCGTCCGGTCCTCCACACACCCGTCCGGCCCTCCACACACCCGTCCGGTCCTCCACACACCCGGCCGGCCCTCCACACACCCGTCCGGACCTCCACACACCCGTCCAACCCAACAACACTGTAAGCTGGAGAAAGAGAGAGAGAGAAAGAGAGAGAGAGAGAGAGAGAGAGAGAGAGAGAGAGAGAGAGAGAGAGAGAGAGAGAGAGAGAGAGAGAGAGAGAGAGAGAGAGAGAGAGAGAGAGAGAGAGAGAGAGAGAGAGAGAGAGAGAGAGAGAGAGAGAAAGAGAAAGAGAGAGAGAAAAAAAAAGAATTGGGGACACGTTTCCCCGTAAGAAATAATAAACACGAAAAAAAAGAAAGTCGGTGACGAGAAAACACTGCTGGAATTTTACACTGTTTTCCTACCTCGCTATCTAGGCTGCCTGTTGCTTCGTCTGTCTGTCTGCCTGTCTACCTTCCTGCCTGTCAGTCTGTGTCTGTCTGCCTGTCTGCCTGTCAGTCTGTGTCTGTCTGTCTGCCTGTCAGTCTGTGTCTGTCTGTCTGCCTGTGTCTGTCTGCCTGTCTGCCTGTGTCTGTCTGCCTGTCTGCCTTCTGCCTGTCAGTCTGTGTCTGTCTGCCTTCCTGCCTGTCAGTCTGTGTCTGTCTGTCTGCCTTTCTGCCTTCCTGCCTGTTAGTCTGTGTCTGTCTGTCTGCCTGTCTGCCTTCCTGCCTGTCAGTCTGTGTCTGTCTGTCTGCCTTTCTGCCTTCCTGCCTGTCTGCCTTCCTGCCTGTCAGTCTGTGTCTGTCTGTCTGCCTGTCTGCCTGGCCCCCTGTCTGGCAGAAGAAGCACAGAGCACCCGTCCTGCGCTCGCGCACACAACGTCCACCAACCAAACCTGCTTCTGACGCACGTACGCATGCGCACGCACGCACGCGCAGACGCACACGTCCAGACACGAGCACAACAGACATGCACGCAGAGACGCACAAGCACAGTCGCGCTCATACACAGACGCAAATGCACGCACACACTCTGACGCACATGCACACACACACACACACACACACACACACACACACACACACACACACACACACACACACACACACACACACACACACACACACACCACGATCAATGAAGAATTTCCTTACGGTTATTTTTCAGTGGCATGAGACGAGAGGTTGGGTGAGCGGACTGGTGGGTGACTCTGGGTGACGCTGGGTGACGCTGGGTGACGCTGGGTGACGCTGGGTGACGCTGGGTGACGCTGGGTGACGCTGGGTGACGCTGGGTGACGCTGGGTGACGCTGGGTGATGCTGGGTGACGCTGGGTGACGCTGGGTGACGCTGGGTGACGCTGGGTGACGCTGGGTGATGCTGGGTGACGCTGGGTGACGCTGGGTGACTCTGGGTGACGCTGGGTGACGCTGGGTGACGCTGGGTGACTCTGGGTGACGCTGGGTGACGCTGGGTGTCGCTGGGTGATGCTGGGTGACGCTGGGTGACGCTGGGTGACGCTGGGTGACGCTGGGTGACGCTGGGTGACTCTGGGTGACGCTGGGTGACGCTGGGTGACTCTGGGTGACGCTGGGTGACGCTGGGTGACTCTGGGTGACGCTGGGTGACTCTGGGTGACGCTGGGTGACGCTGGGTGACTTGGGTGACGCTGGGTGACGCTGGGTGACGCTGGGGGTGATGCTGGGTGACGCTGGGTGACGCTGGGTGACGCAGGACTCAGGGATAAAAGGTCACCATTGACCCAGGGATCAGGGATAAATGTTTATGGAACATTGAAACTGTTTTCATAAACATTATGTTTATGGAAACAGTCGGAAATACATTGATAAGATTCAGTGATGATGAAAAATGAACGAGGGAAACTACGGTGGCAGGTGGTAACATATGGGCCACCTGTGGTAACATATGGGCCACCTGTGGTAACATATGGGCCACCTGTGGTAACATATGGGCCACCTGTGGTAACATATGGGCCACCTGTGGTGACATATGGGCCACCTGTGGTAACGTATGGGCCACCTGTGGTAACATATGGGCCACCTGTGGTAACATATGGGCCACCTGTGGTAACATATGGGCCACCTGTGGTAACACATGGGCCACCTGTGGTAACACATGGGCCACCTGTGGTAACACATGGGCCACCTGTGGTAACACATGGGCCACCTGTGGTAACACATGGGCCACCTGTGGTAACATAACGTTGAATATGTTAAGTCCGGGGAACACCCAGCGCCTGGGTTCGAGCCCACACCACGGCTCCTGTGGATTCGTTCATGTTTAACAAGCGTAACTACAGTGAACATAGGGAGACTAAAGTTCAATCTGCGGTCCTCCAGCTTCTGAACACTTGCTGACCCACCAGACTCTGCTGACCTTTAACCTTTCACTCTAACCCCCCCCCCCCCCACCACCACCCATCCCAGCTTATCCCCAAACAAAAATCCGAGTAATTTTCTGTGGCGCACTTTTCACTGCCACTTTTCAGTGGCACTCAGATATCCAAGAGGCGAGGCTTCCGCAGGTGTGGACGGACGAGGCTTCCGCAGGTGTGGACGGACGAGGCTTCCGCAGGTGTGGACGGACGAGGCTTCCGCAGGTGTGGACGGACGAGGCTTCCGCAGGTGTGGACGGACGAGGCTTCCGCAGGTGTGGACGGACGAGGGCTTCCGCAGGTGTGGACGGACGAGGCTTCCGCAGGTGTGGAGGGACGAGGCTTCCGCAGGTGTGGACGGACGAGGCTTCCGCAGGTGTGGACGGACGAGGCTTCCGCAGGTGTGGTCGGACGAGAGACGAGGCTTCCGCAGGTGTGGACGGACGAGGCTTCCGCAGGTGTGGACGGACGAGAGACGAGGGCTTCCGCAGGTGTGGATGGACGAGAGACGAGGCTTCCGCAGGTGTGGACGGACGAGGCTTCCGCAGGTGTGGAGGGACGAGGCTTCCGCAGGTGTGGACGGACGAGGCTTCCGCAAGTGTGGACGGACGAGGCTTCCGCAGGTGTGGACGGACGAGGCTTCCGCAGGTGTGGACGGACGAGGCTTCCGCAGGTGTGGACGGACGAGGCTTCCGCAGGTGTGGACGGACGAGGCTTCCGCAGGTGTGGACGGACGAGGCTTCCGCAGGTGTGGACGGACGAGGCTTCCGCAGGTGAGGACGGACGAGGCTTCCGCAGGTGTGGACGGACGAGGCTTCCGCAGGTGTGGACGGACGAGGCTTCCGCAGGTGTGGACGGACGAGGCTTCCGCAGGTGTGGACGGACGAGGCTTCCGCAGGTGTGGACGGACGAGGCTTCCGCAGGTGTGGACGGACGAGGCTTCCGCAGGTGACGGACGGACGAGGCTTCCGCAGGTGTGGACGGACGAGGCTTCCGCAGGTGTGGACGGACGAGGCTTCCGCAGGTGAGGACGGACGAGGCTTCCGCAGGTGTGGAGGGACGAGATACGAGGCTTCCGCAGGTGTGGACGGAGGAGAGACGAGGGTTTCCGCAGGTGTGGACGGACGAGATACGAGGCTTCCGCAGGTGTGGAGGGACGAGAGGCAATATGAACAACAGGTCGGAGGCTGATGTGGTCAGCAGGTGGAGACGTCAACAGCAGGAGATGACGTCAACAGCAGGAGACGACGTCAACAGCAGGAGACGACGTCAACAGCAGGAGACGACGTCAACAGCAGGTGGAGACGTCAACAACAGGAGACGACGCCAACAGCAGGTGGAGACGTCAACAACAGGAGACGACGCCAACAGCAGGTGGAGACGTCAACAGCAGGTGGAGACGTCAACAACAGGAGACGACGTCAACAGCAGGTGGAGACGTCAACAGCAGGTGGAGACGTCAACAGCAGGAGACGACGTCAACAGCAGGGGGCGACGTCAACAGCAGGAGACGACGTCAACAGCAGGAGACGACGTCAACAGCAGGTGGAGACGTCAACAGCAGGAGACGACGTCAACAGCAGGAGACGACGTCAACAGCAGGTGGAGACGTCAACAGCAGGAGACGACGTCAACAGCAGGAGACGACGTCAACAGCAGGAGACGACGTCAATAGCAGGGGGCTGCGTCAACACCTGACACCCCCCCCCCCATTCCTCCCCCCCCCTCCCTCCCCCGTCGCCCCCTCACCCCTTTAATATTTACTCAGACTACGAGACTCTTCGATCAAGTCAGCAACTTAACAACTTAAGTTTCACAGC